ATTATTTCTGTTTCTATAAATTCTTTTTTTTCTTTTTAAATGTATCTTTTTAAAAGTCCCAGTTTGTTTGTTTTGTCCTCGTGGTCAGAATACACACTGGAGCCACGGTTTTAGCCTCAAGTGACTTTAGTTTCTGTGGCTGCAGCAGCAGCAGTCCACCACCGCGCCATTTGCTGTTGTGGGTGAAAAATGACCAGAGGGAATAGAGTGGACTCTCAGAGAGTGGAACCACCCAGACAGGATAGTGGCCGCTGCTGCCCCCGGTGGACCCTGAGTCAACACTTGCTGCTAATGGTCTGCCTAAATTTACCTCCTAATTACCCCCCACTTATTGCCTGCAGCTAGCAACACACTGGACATGACCTTGATACACGAGGGTAAAACGGACCTGATTGGGTTCTGGCTGAAACCAGTGAGAAGTCAAATCGATTTTTCAAAAGGAACGAGTTTCAACTGTCGGGGCTAAAAAAAAAAAAAAAAAAAATGTTTTGACAGAAATCTGTAGATGAAGAGAAAAGTCTGAGCATCTGTCCGTCTGTGTGTGTGTGTGTGTGTGTGTTAGCGCAGCTGATAGAGAGGGAGAGTATTTATTCTAAGTGCCAGGTCAGAGGTCATCGAGGCAGAGGAGGATTTTTCAGTCATTATTCAGCTCCTGCCATAATCCCTCCATCCTGAGGTGTCACCACTGAGCGCCGCTGCCACCCTCAGCCGCTCGCTGCAAGCGACAGCGCAGCTACAACAACAAACATCAGCTTCATCATCATTAAACCTGCTGCGGCATCTGCCTCCCCCTCCCACAATCTGCCCCCCCACCATCCCACACACGCACATCGACCCCTGTTCATGACGGCCAATCACACGCTGAGGATTTAGGACTCAGTCAACTGGTGTTTTATGGTCCTCAAAGTCAAGATGTTAGTGGAGCTGAGTTTGGTTACTTCCTGTTGGTTACGTCCTGTTGGTTACTTCCTGTTGGTTACTTCCTGTTGGTTACTTCCTGTTGGTTACTTCCTGTTGGTTATCCTGTTGGTTACCTTCCTGTTGGTTACTTCCTGTTGGTTACTTCCTGTTGGTTACTTCCTGTTTGTTACTTCCTGTTGAGTTAATAAGTTATTAGCTGTGAAACATTCCAGTTCTCGTCACATTTCCAAACCTTTTCTTTTCTCCGTCGCCTCTTCTTCTTTTAATCTTGTGGCCACCCTGCTCTGTCCTGACCCAACTGGGGTCGGGCACCCTGCCTGACCCCCACCCCCATCACCACCGCC